ACCTTCTCGAGGTTCCCAATTGTCTAATTAAAAATGTAGAACCTTCTCGTAGGCCCCAACTGTCTTTTTTTTAATGTGAAACCTTCTCGGGGGTCCCAACTGTCATTTTTTAAGAATGTGAAACATTCTCGGGGGTACCAATTGTCCTTTTTTAACAATGTAAAACCTTCTCGGGGTCGCCAAATGTAGATTTTTAAGAATGCAAAACCTTCTCGAGGGTCCCCACTACACATTTATAAAAAGGAGAAATCTTCTCGGGGGGCCCAAGTGTCTATTTAAGAATATTAAATCTTCTCGGGGCTCCCAACTGTCTTTTTTTTAAGAAGGTGAACTTTTTTTTCTATTTCACCTTCTATACATATTATTGTTTCGCTCCATAGAGGTTATCACAAAAAAGTAAAATTCCCCAAAATCAAATTTTGTAATTTGTCTCAAATATGCTTGATATATTTGATAGGTGCGAGAGAAGTTCTGTCGAAACAGCTTTCGACCAATTTTTGTTCATTGTATTGGTTATAATTATTTATGGCTGTTTTTTATGTTTTTTTCTTTGTATTTCTAGTCAGTTTTTCTATTTATGTCAAATATTTTTCTAATGTTTCTTCTTCTCTCCATCCATTTTTTGCGTTTTCTGTTGCTGTCTCATATTAAATGTCTCTAAGAGTGTTTTTTTTTTTGTTTTATTTTGTTAATTCCTTGTTTGTCTCCTTTTATCTCAATTTTTGCTCTCTGTGTTGATTATAATTTTTTTTCAACCCCATCGCGAACTTGTGTGGCGGTTCTCTTACATTCTTTTTTTTTTGGTATACAAAAATTTTAGTAAAATATGGTAAAGAAAAAAATTGTGTTTCATAAAAAATTAGATTATAAGAAACGTGTAAAATTCTTATGAGACTAAAATGCAGAAATATTGCGTTGTGCTTTACCCGTATTATCGTTGAGACAATATGTAAAAAGGAACGAAGTTAAGCTTGACCCCTGGACGTCACCACAGTATGTTAAACCCTGAAAGTGAAACTTCTGTACACACATCTCCACAAAATGTACACAAAAAAAACACAGACACAAACATCCTTCAAAACCCTTTAATTATCAGCAAATATTCCACAATTAATCACATTTTAATTTAATTCTTCGAACATCCGCTTATTCCAACTTAATGATCTTCAAACATCCATCACTGTGACTAATAAAGACAACAATGCCACATCCACGTACTTATTCAAACCTCGCTTTTTCTACAAACACTACTCCACATTACTCATAAATGAATTTCAAAGAATTCGCTTGCGCAACATCCAACAATTATTCTCCTCAAGGCGCTTCACGACATTTTTCGCATTTACAGCTTAGATAAATCGCGCTCGCGCTTCCGTCATCCGAGCTCCAGCTAATACCTTATATTGATTTAAAATCTGAATTATATCCGAGTAACATGTACCTCTACTGAAGCATGAAGTAGCGTGAGTCTAGCTACGAAAAAGAGCAACAGGAGGCGGTCACGTGGTGCACTGGACCAGCACATCCTCAGGATTTTTTCGAGAAATGTTGCAAAATAGCGTCATGACTAAGCTGTTTGAAGATGCTGGTGGAAGTGAGAGTGATTTCGTAAGTAATTGTTAGAAAAAAACAGAAGTGGTGGTTCGTTTTTTAGAGCGGCGAAAACACTATGAATATTTAAAGGTTGGAATAAAATTAAAATAATGGGGGAATAAAGCGTAATGTGCCTAGGTTTTGTCGCACTGGAATTTTTACGGCTGAGTGAACGACTCGTTTATTCCAAAGAAATATCGTTTTGGAATAAACAAGAATATTTATTTTATTAATAGTTTGTTGGAAATGTTAGGAGTCGTGTCAAGGATTTGACAAATAAAATAGCTGCGAGAAAGTTTATTACACCCAAGGATTTGTTTCGTGTTGTTATATAAATATTTATTTAAAGTGGGTGTTAACATTAGGAAAACTGTAATATTAATCAAGGTAGGTATTTATTACTCGTTTTAACTAATTTATTTAGACAAGTCACACAACGTTTATGATAATATTGATAATTGAAAATTAAAAAAAAAACAAGAGAGATTAAATAACAACATACTAACTAGATTATACAACGAATATTCACCGTAACTAACACTGTAAACTTTCCAAATGTCCTTGATCCATATATTTTGAGTTTTATGGTCTAGAATAGTGTAAGCGTGTAGTTATATTCACTAACCTACAACATTTAACTCGATTATATTCCCTCTATTAAGCCCCAAATTCACTACAAAGTAACTTTAATCGCAACAGGAAAAAAGTGTCTCAAATTTTATCTGATTTTTGTGTTCATTTTGAATTTCTCATCACTCCGAGTTTGTCCTCAAGATTCCTGTTTTTTTTTCTAAAATTTGTGTTTTTTTAACTGGAATTAATTTCTTCAAAATTCTAATTCTAGAATATATTTTTTTTTAACCCGAAACATACTGCGCCTGAGAAAATCCCCCAATCAAAAAAAAATACCATCTGCTAGAAAGCACCGGCAGTAATTCAGCTAAACTGTTATCGACATCCTGTCACACACCGTAATTAAGTCTCCTGTCGCTTTCTTTATTCGGAGTCCCCTCGAAAACACAAAGCCGAAAAAACTTTTACTTTTCCTATTAACCAAATAACGTCAAAGAAAACACTTTGTTAAATAAACAAGCCAACTTTTCTCATTTCCCCGTTTCCGTTTTCGCATGTCAAATAAAACTCGCCGGAAATTATTCATCATTCTTTCAATAAAAATATTACGTCATTTAAGGGCCCCAACGCCGGCGGCACTAATGACCAGCTACCTTCCGAATTCAGCTTGACGCTCACTGCGGAGCGCTTCCCCTCTGCTGCACCAAAAGGACATAGCAATTCGTTATAGAAAGTCGACTCATTTTTCACGTACGAAACGGTACTTATAATGTGGGAAACGCTCTCGAAAAAATCAGCTCCTTTCCCTCCAATCTAAATATTTCCGAATGCACGTTTTCAATATCGATTCGAGTTGCAAAAAACAGCGCGATTGTTACAGATGATAGACCGGAAGCGATGGAGATTTCAATAGTGGGGCAGGAAAGGTCACCGGGAATTGGATACAGAATCCGTATTTCGTTTATTTATCCCCTCTAAAAAGTTGATGACGTCATTCGGTAATAATGAAATCGTTAGTGCGCTGCCGTCTGGATTTCTAGCTGCGAACTTCGCGAGTAATAATTAGTAACAGTAAATAAGGAATGTCAGGGCATTATTTTGATTTATATTATATTGGAGCGGATTTAGTTATGTCGGAACTAATACGAGCACCGGACCGTGGCAGGACGGCAGCTGTAAAATTCACCGGAGGATAACTAGAGGCTGAGACCGTTAAACAAACATGTCATATGCTAGAAGAAATTAATTGCGTTTGTGCACATTCGAGCCGTTTCTTTGTTCGGGGTGAAGGAGGCGCTTTAGAGGTAATCAGGTTCTTTGATTTGGGGGAAAGGTCACGGAGTGTTTAATTTGGGGCTTGGAAAGTCGGACGGAGGAAGAGCAGGTAGATGGGAAGCGATTAAGTAGCTCTTTGTACGGCTTATGTTAGTTCTAGGCTGTCGATTGTGTAATAACGAAATTTTTGCTACGATCGTTATTTTTGTTTTATAATGAAATATAATTTTCTCCACGCCGTCCAATTTCAAGATCTTAACGTCCCAAAATTTAGACTTCGAAATCTCAAGATTCAATATAATGTTTTTTTTTTTGGCTCAACATCGGTACTCTATTTTTCAAAATTTAAGTTTTTTTCTGAATTCGAAATTTTATTTTTGTTTTAAAATTTGGTTCTGAAAAAACAAAATTTTGACTTTTTTTAATTTTCCAACTTTTGGATATTTCAATTTTTAATTTTCCAATTTTTGGATTTTTCACTTCGGTTTTCAAGTTTTCGTTTCTGCAATTTTTGATTTGTAAATTGTAAAATTGAGGAACGGAAAAACCAAAAGTTGAAAATTTGAAGAATTGAACAAACAAAAAATTATAAAATCGAACAAACATTGAAAACATAAAGGAAATCAGAAAACGAAAAAAGTCGGAAAAATGAAAAAAAATCAAGAACATGAAAAACTGAGGAAACAAAAATTGAAAATACCAAGAAATCGCAAAACTGAAAAACCGTAAATCGAAAAATTTAAAAATTTGAAAATCGAGAAATTGAAAAAATTAAAGTTAAAAACGAAAAATTATGAAACCGAAAGAAGCCTTGAGGACAAATTTCAAGTGATGAGAAGTCTAAAATTAATTAAAACAATTTCAGAAAAATTTTGAAACTCGGGAAATAATGACAGTCTTGAAAAAGTCAAAATTTTTGTAAAAAGCCAAATATTAAATTTTTGGGTCATTAAGATCTTGAAACTTGTTGGATTAGGGAAAATTGTCGAGAGCTTCTTGAGAATTAGTCAAAATTTTGAATAATAAACTGAAAGTTTGAATAAAGCGTCAAATTTTAGAAAAAAATCTGAAGTCTTGAGTTGAAAAGTTACGCTCAGGAAGCAAAAAGAATAAAGAAAATAGAAATGAATTAATTATAGTAAAAACGAATTTTTAATTTATACAAAAATGTAAAACCCCGTCTGAGCCTTCAAACCAGTACTAAACCTCAAGTAAGTACGCAAACATTAACATTTGAATAAACACTCCGTTTACTTTTAAATTTATACAATGAGTTTCCTAAATAACCTTCCTCTAGTTGACAATTTTGCAGTATTTTATTTATTACCTATTACGAAATATTTTTTTTTATTTTTGACGTCACAACCGCAAACCAATTAAAAAACTTGAGTTAGATGAGTCACAAAAAAACCACTACAATTCAAACTTCCATAATCTAATCCAATAACGCGCTTTTTCTTTCTATTTTTCAAAAGAACCAAAAATAGAAAATCAAACCCTCACCCTTTACCGACAATCACCCCTGCCGGCGCCGCCCTCCCGGAAGCCCAAGCACTTACCGCTGGATCCGGAACCGAGTATCCAAATTAAGGCGGCGCACTGTTCACAAAGTTAAGCGCCCATCCAAGTAAAACACACACAACACACCGCAACGGACGGAACCTCCTGGAGCTAAATCAGGACGGTACGGCGGCCTCACACCAACTTGCTGCTTGCCGCGTGCATCGGTCGCGAACGCCGCGAACGCGCTACGTCATAGCCTAGGTGCCCAGGAGGGGTCAGAGCTGTTTAGACAACCATGGAAAAGCGTGCGTGGGTGACAACATCATCATGGGATGGGAGATGGGTGCCTATGTAAGAGGGATCCATGGGGAAAATGGGAAGAGGAGGATCGGCGCAAAGCGAGAGGAAAAAGTGATTTGAATGGTCGGTGAAGCGAGGAGAATTTAACAATTTGAATTGTTTTTAATAACTTTATATTTTCGGTTTAATTATGACGTATTAATACTTATCATATTTAAATAACGTTAAGTATGTTTAAATATTGTTTACTGTGTCATGATAATTTATACTATTTTTATATTTGTCGAATACACGAGTTGCGGACTTCGATAAATTAAAACTCAAATCGTAATTACTCCATGTTCGGGCATTTTTGGAAAAATATCTGCTTTCCTTCGTGTTCAAAGCACTAACGCAAAACATTTTTATTAATATTTATTAACAATAAATTAGAAATTCGTGGACATGTGCTACTGAGCTAAAACGGACCTCCGATGTTGCTGCCACCAAACAGAAATTCTAGCCCCAAATTTACGAGTTGTCATTTTAAGTATTTTACTAAAAAAAGTCAACGGATAAGCTCCAGCCATCCGCCCTATCTAAACTGTGATTACTTTTTTTATTCGTCGTGAGACGGGGGCGGAGCTTAATTGCAAAGTTTCTATTTATCTACAAAGTGAAAACATGTTTTAAGTATCGTGTTATTGAAAAAAAATATAGACACATATTAAGAAAAAGCAACCGAAAATTATGCCCCACCCACCCACCCGGTTCTCAATTGTGAAGAAGTTTTAATTTGTTGTGAGACCGAGGGGCGGAGCTTAATTGCAAAGTTTCTATTTATCTACAAAGTGAAAACATGTTTTAAGTATCGTGTTATTGAAAAAAAAATATAGACACATATTAAGAAAAAGCAACCGAAAATTATGCCCCACCCACCCACCCGGTTCTCAATTGTGAAGAAGTTTTAATTTGTTGTGAGACCGAGGGGCGGAGCTTAATTGCAAAGTTTCTATTTATCTACAAAGTGAAAACATGTTTTAAGTATCGTGTTATTGAAAAAAAATTATAGACACATATTAAGAAAAAGCAACCGAAAATTATGCCCCACCCACCCACCCGGTTCTCAATTGTGAAGAAGTTTTAATTTGTTGTGAGACCGAGGGGCGGAGCTTAATTGCAAAGTTTCGATTTATCTACAAAGTGAAAACATGTTTTAAGTATCGTGTTATTGAAAAAAAATTATAGACACATATTAAGAAAAAGCAACCGAAAATTATGCCCCACCCACCCACCCGGTTCTCAATTGTGAAGAAGTTTTAATTTGTTGTGAGACCGAGGGGCGGAGCTTAATTGCAAAGTTTCTATTTATCTACAAAGTGAAAACATGTTTTAAGTATCGTGTTATTGAAACAAAATTATAGACACATATTAAGAAAAAGCAACCGAAAATTATGCCCCACCCACCCACCCGGTTCTCAATTGTGAAGAAGTTTTAATTTGTTGTGAGACCGAGGGGCGGAGCTTAATTGCAAAGTTTCTATTTATCTACAAAGTAAAAACATGTTTTAAGTATCGTGTTATTGAAAAAAAAATTATAGACACATATTAAGAAAAAGCAACCGAAAATTATGCCCCGCCCACCCACCCGGTTCTCAATTGTGAAGAAGTTTTAATTTGTTGTGAGACCGAGGGGCGGAGCTTAATTGCAAAGTTTCTATTTATCTACAAAGTAAAAACATGTTTTAAGTATCGTGTTATTGAAAAAAAAAATATAGACACATATTAAGAAAAAGCAACCGAAAATTATGCCCCGCCCACCCACCCGGTTCTCAATTGTGAAGAAGTTTTAATTTGTTGTGAGACCGAGGGGCGGAGCTTAATCGCAAAGTCTATTTTTCTGTACAAGAAATTACTGAGTGAAACTTGTTTGAAGTGTTATCATATTGCTTTGAGAAAAAATACTTTATTTTAGATGGAAATTTCTTGTAGAAAAATAAAATTTTCGTAGTTAAACTCAGCTTCCTCGTGCAAGACGAATAAAAAAATAATCACAATTGAGATAGGGCGGGTGGGTGGGGCATAATTTTCGGTTGTACAAAACACAAAATATAAGCCCCGCCCAGCCGCCCGATCTCAATTGTAATTAATTTTTATTTGTTGTGAGACCGGGGGGCGGAGCTTAACCGCAAAGTCCATATTTCTGTACAAGAAATTACTGAGTGAAACTTGTTTGAAGTGTTATCCTATTGTTTTGAGAAAAAATACTTTATTTTAGATGGGAATTTCTTGTAGAAAAATAAAATTTTCGTAGTTAAACTCAGATTCCTCGTCCAAGACGAATAAAAAAATAATCACAATTAAGACAGGGCCGGTGGGTGGGGCATAATTTTCGGTTGTAAATAACACAAAATATAAGCCCCGCCCACCCGCCCGATCTCAATTGTAATGAATTTTTTATTTGTTGTAAGACCGGAGGGCGGAGCTTAATCACAAAGTATATATTTTTATACAACAAATTACTGAGTGAAACTTGTTGAAGTGTTATCATATTGTTTTGAGAAAAAATACTTTATTTTAGTTGGGAATTTCTTGTAGAAAAATAAAATGTTCGTAGTTAAACTCAGCTTCCCCGTTCAAGACGAATAAAAAAATAATCACAATTGAGATAGGGCGGGTGGGTGCGGCATAATTTTCGGTTGTACAAAACACAAAATATAAGCCCCGCCCACCCGCCCGATCTCAATTGTAATGAATTTTTTATTTGTTGTGAGACCGGGGGGCGGAGCTTAACCGCAAAGTCCATATTTCTGTACAAGAAATTACTGAGTGAAACTTGTTTGAAGTGTTATCATATTGTTTATGAGAAAAAATACTTTATTTTAGATGGAAATTTCTTGTAGAAAAATAAAATTTTCGTAGTTAAACTCAGCTTCCTCGTTCAAGACGAATTAAAAAATAATCACAATTGAGATAGGGCGGGTGGGTGGGGCATAATTTTCGGTTGTAAAAACACAAAATATAAGCCCCGCCCACCCGCCCGATCTCAATTGTAATGAATTTTTTATTTGTTGTGAGACCCGGGGGCGGAGCTTAACCGTAAAGTCCATATTTCTGTACAAGAAATTACTGAGTGAAACTTGTTTGAAGTGTTATCATATTGTTTTGAGAAAAAATACTTTATTTTAATTAGGAATTTCTTGTAGAAAAATAAAATTTTCGCGGTTAAACTCAGCTTCCTCGTTCAAGACGAATAAAAAAATAATCACAATTGAGATAGGGCGGGTGGGTGGGGCATAATTTTCGGTTGTAAAAACACAAAATATAAGCCCCGCCCACCCACCCGATCTCAATTGTAACGAATTTTTTATTTGTTGTGAGAGCGGGGGCGGAGCTTAACCGCAAAGTCCACATTTCTGTACAAGAAATTACTGAGTGAAACTTGTTTGAAGTGTTATCCTATTGTTTTGAGAAAAAATACTTTATTTCAGTTGGGAATTTCTTGTAGAACAATAAAATTTTCGCAGTTAAACTCAGCTTCCTCACTCAAGACGAATAAAAAAATAATCACAATTGAGATAGGGGGGTGGGTGGGGCATAATTTTCGGTTGTAAAAAAACACAAAATATAAGCCCCGCCCACCCGCCCGATCTCAATTGTAATGAATTTGTTATTTGTTGTGAGACCGGGGGGCGGAGCTTAACCGCAAAGTCCATATTTCTGTACAAGAAATTACTGAGTGAAACTTGTTTGAAGTGTTATCCTATTGTTTTGAGAAAAAATACTTTATTTTAGATGGGAATTTCTTGTAGAAAAATAAAATTTTCGCAGTTAAACTCAGCTTCCTCGTTCAAGACGAATAAAAAAATAATCACAATGGAGATAGGGCGGGTGGGTGGGGCATAATTTTCGGTTGTACAAAAACACAAAATATAAGCCCCGCCCACCCGCCCGATCTCAATTGTAATGAATTTTTTATTTGTTGTGAGACCGGGGGGCGGAGCTTAACCGCAAAGTCCATATTTCTGTACAAGAAATTACTGAGTGAAACTTGTTTGAAGTGTGGTATTGTTTTAAGAAAAAATGGGGAATGAAGAAGAGAAAAAAACTTTTTTCTTTGAAGAACACATTATTTTACATGGTAATTTCTTGTAGAAAAATAAAATTTTCGCAGTTAAACTCCGCCTCCTGACTCAAGACGAATAAAAAAAAATAATCACAATGGAGAGAGGTCGGGTGGGCGGGGCGTATATTTTGACTGTTTCTGTTAATATAATTAATCTTCTTTTCACAACAAGAAACTTAAAACATGTTTAAAATGGTAAACTTTTGTAGACAAATGTGGATTTTGCATTTAAGCTCCGCCCCTCGATCTGACGACGATTGAAAAATTCATCACAACTTAGATAGGCGCGGGTAGGGGGGGGGGGAGCTTAATTATGCGCTTCTTTTCTAAATATATAATTATATTTTCTTTCAACAACACGATACTCAAAACATGGTAATTTCTGGTAGACAAATAAGGATTTTTCAATTAAGCTCCGCCTTCCCGGCTTGCGACCAATAAAAAAAGTCATCACAATTTGAATGAGGCCGGGTGGGCGGTTTTATATTACGCCTTAGTTTTTTCTTAATATACTCGTACGTACAGTTATTTTTTAGTAAGAAGAAAGTTAAAACATGTTTAAAATGGTAAATTTTTGTAAAGAAATCCAGATAATTAAGCTCCGTCCTTCGAACTAACAACAAATGAAAAATTCATCACAACTAAGGTAGGGGCGGGTGGGTGGGGCTTAATCATCCGCTTAATTTTCTAAATATATAATATTTTTATTTTGCAATAACACGAGACTTCAAACATAATTCTAAACTCAAATTTAGCATTTGATATTTTAAGTATTTTATTGTTGAAAAACGAAAAAAAGTCAATGAATAGG